GGCCGCTGGTACGCATGAAGGAATGCGATAATTCGTTACATTCCTAGGTCTAATTTTTGAAGGAGAACTGTGATTTTGAGATTTTCTCTGTTGAAGAGTGGTTACTGCACAACACAACAGATGCGTTAGAAAAACATTATCAAAACTAGCAAATGTTAATCTCATCAAACATGTTCAAACCGAACGTAACTAGAAATTTATAGGTAAACACGTTATCAGTGTTTTTTTTTACTTTATAAAATTGTTCAGAAACATGGCTGTCTTGTTACGTTATCTCATGTCATCAGCCCCCTAAAGACATGTTACGAGATATGTTGTGTTTCGACTTTTTCTTTTAAATTTATTTTAGTTTATTCTTTTACTGTTGTTCCTGTCTTATTAATTCAGAGCATTAATATCTTGTTGAAAAGAAAAGAGTATAAATTTGTTCCTTAAATTTATGTTCAAATCATTATTGCTATTAAATTTAGTTTAATGTTTGCTGGAATTTATAACGTTTAGTTAAATTTCAAGTTTATATATGTATAAATTACGCTAACAGAAAGGAATAATAAACCACAAAATACACACAAAACGCGTGCCCAGAACAGCTACAATAATTGATATACAGCAAAGAAAAATTTCAATGGAGAAAGAATAAAATTAATTTAGTATCTCTTCCTCATGCAGAGAAAGTCAACAAAAAACTCTGCAATGATTAAAATAAAAATAATCCAATTGATACTTAATAAGAGAAAAATTAAGGGAAGAAAAATTATCAAATAGAATTCCTGTAAACCAAATACCTTAACATAAACGAAGATCTTAAAAGTTAGACAGATTTGCATGTGTTGCCGTTTTTTCTGCGTTTAATCCTGGGGAGATTTTACAGCTTAGAGAGATGAAACTCAAAGGAGAGACTTGTAGACAGACGTGGCCGAACTGAATATAATTTTTATTGCTCGGTACAAACTTATTATCGAAAGCATATTTTTCGTCACACATGATCATGTGCGCAATACGCACTCCACAGTTTTATGCAGAGTATTACATTTTATACAACGGCGTAGTCAGCAGCACGACAAAGCAAAGTGAGGAAAGTAGCATCTTGACTGCAAGAGAGCAGAAGCTAAAGTGCGTAGTTATCCAGTATGGAGGCTCACCAAGAGAAGATTTGTGTTTAGATTAGAAAGGAAAGGTTTGCGTTTAGATTAGGTTTGGTTTCTCGAAATTTTGAGTTAAGTTCCTAATTAACTACGTCATGAACGTTACGCTAGCTATGCAAGATGGATTGATCTAGAAATGACGTAGTCCAGAAAAGTTATTACGATTATTAGAATAGAGTGGGTGAATTAATGTGTTGCTCCTAGTTTAATTATAATTTTGATTTACATATTTTTATCTATTATTATTACTACTTTATATATATATATATATCAAGATTATTCGTTACAAGTGTAGAAACTTCTGAGAAGAGTAGATTACTCAGAAACGAAAAGGGATCATAAAGCAATCCAGAGTCGGAAATGCTATCCTCATGTGCAAGTGTGCAGAGAAGATGAGGGAAAAAAGTAATATATAAGTTGAGAACGTTGTTTTATTCATTAAAATGTAACATAGTTGCGTTATTAGAAGAGGTCACAGTTTGAAGTTTCGGAACAGAAGCCTGACTAGAATAATTCCGAATATCCCTCGGACGGCCGTGGTAATTAAGTAGATCGGATGAGATAAGACGCTTCTCACCGTCTATGGGTGTAACTGTACAACCACCTTTCATGTAAACCCAGGGGAAAAATCCAGGGTTGGTAGGCTCGATGATCGTACAGGCCAATAAATGGGATCACCACACCCGTTCCACTGTTGTCCAAATCCCGCGAACGGGCTGGCTGCATAAGCGTTTTCGTGGTTTTCCCCATGTGTAACGTGTATACGAGCCAGTTTCCCTTAGAAAGTCCTCCACGAAGGCATCCCTCCTCTTAGGCAGATAGCCCTCGAGGCTTTGCCATACACACACACACCACTGTTGTCCAAATGTAACATTTAAGCATTTTCCAACTTGTGTGCTGCTCGTGGCATGGGTGTAGTTGGTTCGAGTTCAGGATTTTCAAAACCAAGGTCAGTAGACAGCCAAGGTCTTTCAGTGACGTCATTTCTCTTACAGAAGTGACAGAAACGAAGACACAGCTTTGGAACAGACGTTGAGCTAGTGATGTAACACGCTCAAAGATTCCTAGTCGGAAGGTGCAAATTTTGTAGTATAATAACTTTTCTCCATATGGTACTTTGTGGAAGACCGAAATGAACAGCTACCGCTCTTCTACTGGCTCGTGGAGTATCTTCTGCATATGATGAAGAACCATCTCTTCCATTTCAGGGGTCCATGCTATTGTTCCTCGATTCAGGGCAGGTTTCTTGATGGAGCCTGTTTCACATAATCCTTGATCGGATCTCGTGATTCGAGAAACGCTTCATCGGTTATTGCTTCTGGTACAGATACACATTAGCTTGCACACAACAGCTTCACGTGCAGGATGCATATCTGCTATAAAGTCATCCATCCTGCTACATCTGCGGGTGGTTGGCGATTAACGGTTTTTCTGCACGAATGTTTTATCGTTTCCCAAACAACTTCCTCTCGCTTTCCGATTGTGTTTCTGATCCTGCATTACTATCTTATTTTCATTCGTCGTTGAGTAACCTACCCCTACACGCGGTAGCGAATGTATGTATATTATAAGGTATTTTCTCCCTTCTTTCCCCATGCCTTCGAAGTGTAATTGGTAGCATACTCGACATATTCGAGAGGTCCAAGGTTTGAGTCTCGGCGAGGGTGTTGCACATTTTCATGTCTGCTGATTAAAAAACCTTAATGACTCTACAAATGTCGCCCGAACTAAAAGGTGGTGGAAAATAATTCGTCACTACCAGGATTTGGCGACTGAGTCCCCTAATCCACAGTCTCCCTTTAAAAGGGGAAGTATATAATGCCTTCTTTCTGCATGCCTTTGTGATGTAATTGGAAGCATACTCGAAGCTTATTCGAGAGGTCCAGTGTTCGAGTCCCGGTGTGGGTTTTGTATATTTCTTCAGTTTCCTGACATCGAAAATATTCTAATAAGATAATAAATCTCTAATAAATTACTAACTTAATTCGTAGTAGCTCCTTAAATTTCTTCTTCGGACTTTTGTATGTCCCCCCTCCTAGCATCTGCAATGCATCAAAATTTCTCTCGACTGCATCATTTCTAGATCTATCCATACCTATGACATAAAACATTCATGATGTAACTAATTCGGAATTTAAATCGAAACTTTCTCTTAATAAGCGACTTGAACTGAAACCTTCTCTTGGTGAGCTTATTGGATAACTGCACACTTTTGCTTCTAGCTGTCTTGCCTGTAGATGGTGCTTTATGCTTGAATGTAACATTATTTAAAATGTGACTGTTTTGAAGCAGGTACGTGTAGTGTGCCAACTAAATTGTGGCTGCAAAATCAGTGGAAACAAAGATGAGTATTTAATCTGCCTCGGCTGCTAAGTTTGCTCTTTATTTTGGATCGACGTTCTACTCCATTAATATTCGTCTTTTTCATTACATGCACACACACACACACACATATATATATAAGGAAAAAGACGCGGCAATATAAATGGCGCAGAATGCCTTTTTCATTGCATATATACATATACATATATATATATATATATATTTAAATTTAAATTTAAACAAATTTAAATTCTTAACAAATAAGTATAAAAGTAAAAAAGCAAATTTAAATTCTTAGCAAATACGTATAAAAGTAAAAAAGCAAATTTAAATTCTAAAAAAAAGGAAAAAAGCCGAAATAATTTAAAATAATTAAAAAAAATGTAAAAGATTTAATTCTCGAACTAATTTACAATATCATTTAAATTCAGAAGCATAAGCAAATCAAGTGCAAAATCTATCCATGAAAATAAATCTACTAATTTAATAAAATTAAATGAAAATTAAATTAAACAATTTTAAAAAAATGCATATGTGAATGACCGTAGAGTAGGCAGGAGACAGACTTTTTTTTTATTATTATTTTAAATTATTTCGGCTTTTTTCCTTTGTGTAAAATTATTTTGGCTTTTTTCCTTTTTTTTTTTTTTTAGAATTTAAATTTGCTTTTTTATTTTTATACGTATTTGTTAAGAATTTAAATTTGCTTTTTTATTTTTATACGTATTTGTTAAGAATTTAAATTTGTTTAAATTTAAATTTCATTCCTTGCAGCAATGGCGCAAAGAATATATAATTAAATATGTATTTATATTTTTATATTTATATTTAATTTTTTTAATTAAATTCAATTTATTCTTATGAAACAATTATATATATATATATAATATATATATTATATATATACATATATATTATATTTTATGCAATAAAAAGGTTTTCAAGTATTTTAGTGTTTTTGTTAGACTTTCTTTTGGTTTTCTATCATAAAATATGTTAAAGTTTTACGGTCTTGTTTTCAAAGAGATTCAAATTAATTAGAAAACAAAATCCGCAGTGAACGTTGTTACCACTTTTTATTTATTTATTTTTTATTCCTGAAAGGGTATTTCAGTGAGTTTTTCTCAGTGAACATCTTCTTTTCATTGCATGGGCTGAGGTTCGTGTCCTCTTTCATTTTCCTCATGGTATCTGGTAATGGTATGTAATTAGCTAATAGTAAAATTTATCGTACATAACAGTGGTTCGTCTTTTTTTCCACTCATTTTTTTCTTCGTACCTGGTAATAATATGTATTTAACTAACAATACAAATTTAAAAATTACCTGTAATTATGACAAGAAATTTTGTAGAAAGCACGTTTTGTTGTAACGTAATAGATTTCTGAATTATTAAAATCATAAAAATTTTGTTGCTATTCGTGTGTAGTATTTTCAGAAAAATATTTGCTTAGAATAGTTTTTATTAGGCTATGAGTGGAGTGGTATGAATTTTATTACAAATAAAATCGTAATTTTTATTTTTCAGAAAGGATTACGGCGCACATGTTCGGCCCTAATTATGAAGGCGCAGATTATATGCTGGCAGTTTGGCAGCCCTATGAAAAACTCAGGCCAGATGAAATGGCCACTCACTTTAATAAATATGGAAAAGTGGTGAATATTAAAGACTGGTAAGAAAAATATTTTAAACTGTTAATTGCTTTTTTAAATATACAAGATTTGACAGTAAAATTTCAGAGCTGATGCTGGAATCAATGAAATTTAAAACGCTGTAGTAAACTGCGATCATGGTTAATGAAATTAATCTCCCTTTCTTCTGAATGAACAAATCTGATCACTTTGTCAGGCGTCTAAAACATATTACAAAGTCAGCAGCATAATGTTAAGTTTGGTAGCTTAAGGATGCCCTCAATCATAATGAAGCTTCGCGTTTATCTCAATGAAGCTCTTATTGTCGTCAACAGTATAAGCTTTCTAATCTTCTGTCAATCTGTGCGGTGGCCCACCAGCATACCTCAGTAAAGTTGCTGAATACTGGTAATTCAGTCCGGGGTTCGAATCCCGGCGAACGGGCTGACTGCATTGAGGTTTTGCCCCTGTCTAACGTTATACTTCCCCTTAGACAAACAGCCGTCAAGTGCTTTGCCGTAATCAAATAAACAATAAACCAATCGGTCTCTGCGGCACAAAGTCTTCGCATATCTTTCTCCTACCCAGGTCTTCCTTCAGAACTGGGCACGTTTTGTTCTATGGATCATATGCAGTTATATTCACTCATCTGAAAATTTATATCACGATCTAACTGCATCTCTAACGTCTTCGCTTTTTTCGAGAAATTCGTCAAACCCACAATCATAAAATAGCACTTTGTATGAACAAATTTAATTATTTCTAAAGTCTTTTGATTTCTTTAACATGTAGAAAAACTTTATGTTTGTTCTTTGTTCCCAGCAGAAATCGATATCAAAGAGAATTATGGTGCCTTCAGAAGCGAAAAATATCTTCTTTCCGAAATTTTCAGATGCCCTGCAAAAGAGGAAAGACACGGTTACAGTTTGACGCGAACAACGTGTTTTGTAACATTAACAGAATAACAACAGCAGATCTGGAATTTTATTGTCAACCTTTACAAGTGCGTCCTATCTAAAAATTTATTTTTCCACAAAGGTAATTTTATGATATCAAAATAAAAATTTCACTTTAACTTTTGAAGACCATCCCGAGTGAAACTTCTTATCATCCAAATTTTGTTTTAATCTCATTAAAATGGTAAGAATAGTAATTTAATGATTATTTCTAAACACTATTAGCAATAGCAACATTATCATACTACGGACCAGTTCTACTTTGTATTATCTTAAATAAATCTAATAAAATTTAGTTTGGAGTCACCTATGCTATCTTAAGAAAAAGGTTTTTTCTTGAAGAGCTTACATTGTAGAGTCGTTAGGATTTTTTTGAAGCAGGAGTCATGAAAAATGAGGAGTGCCCTCGCCGGGACTAGAATCTCGGAACTCTCGAATACGCTCCGCGTATGCTGACCATTACACCAGGTAGACGGGAGAAATACCTTATATACTCCCCCTTTTAAAAGGCGGCTGGGGATTAGGAGAACCAATCGTCAAATCCTGTTGGTAGAGAATCATCATCTATCCCCTTTTTTAGTTCAGGAGCCACTGTAGTGTCATTAGTTTATTTCGAAGCAGAAGACATGAAAATGTGCAGTGGCCTCGCCGGGACTTGAACCTCGGACCTCTCGAATACGCGCCGAGCGTGCTGATCATTACAGAGGCATGCTAAGAAGGTGGGAGAAATACCCTAATAACATTTAAGCTCATGGATTTGTGGCGTTCCGACAGATACTTCAACTTCTATTCATGAGATAGCGCCACGTGTAAAATCCAGTTCTTAATCGGAGCAGCAAAGCGACATCTTTACTCACTCAGACTTCTCGTCGGACAAGTGTTCCTACGACGCTAGCACGAACTTGTGTTTCCGAGCTCTGTGTTGATCTCTGCAATGTAATTTAAATTGTAATTTAGTATTTAATATATTCTTTTGTTATAGGAGATTGTCTACTCTTATTTCCTTTAGTTATATCATGCATTAAGCACACACGACCACCAAAGATTAAATTATAAAAAAGTTTTAATTTAATTTTGAGATCTAATGTTGCAATTTACATTACTAAAAGTACTTTTGAAAAGTAAGGGGGAAAATATTTTAGATTTTCAGAAAGATTTTACTTACGATTGTAGTATATAGTTTTCAAATAACAGTTGAAATCCGAAATTTGCTGTATGTATTGAAGGAAAAAATTCAGAAGTAATTGATGAAAGCATTGTGGACATGATACCATCTGCATCAATACTAAGGTATGCATATGCTATCTGTGCCCAAGAAAGACGATAAGGGAAAATGGGATTACATATACAATGAATAGCAAGTTTAGTTGTATTAACCGTCTCAGTATTACTTGAAACCGCTAAAAACTACAGTAAACCCTTGCCGAACGTGGATTTCCGGAACGCTATTTCGCATATACGCGTCATCTTAATTATTTTACATTTAATCTGTTTAACGTTAGAATTTCATTTATACAAAATTCGAAGTTCATTCATTAATACTGAATCCTTGCTGGCATCAGGTCTGGTCAGAAGCTATTGTTGTACGGGTCGTTATGAAATGAATGCACAAGTCCGATGAAAAATGAACAAAAATTTATTATTATCACAACAAAAATGCTTAAATTTTCTCAAATTATCATGCAGTATTACAATATCTCACAGTAGTTATCTTTTAACTACTCAAATGTCCAATAGAACGTAATTCAAAACAGCTAAAGAAAGCTAATCCGCGAATTCGCTACAATCAACAAGAGCAGTTTTCTAAACAACAACAAACTAAGCAACTACTACAAACTGAGAGGTTTTCCTCCTTTTATAAGATTTTTAAATCGCGTGCGAGAATTTTCTGGTACTTTCTCGAAATCAAAAAGACATATTTATTTGTTAAATGCACGTGCTCTTGTATTTTTAATTTTCCGGCTGAGCTTTCTTCTTTTAATATTCGTCGCGCGCTGCACTGCGCGGGAAATAAAACCATTTAATTTATAATTGAACTAACATTAGCTTTTTAAATACCAAATTCATAACACTATCAACAGTTTTAAATAATTTCAGTCGACTTAAAATGAAGCCAAAGAAATCGTACAAACTGCAAAAGCAACTGGCGGCGAAGAATTCTCAGCTATGGAAGAAGAGGAAATCAAATAATTAACCGAGAAATTACGATCTAAAAACGATGAATGAAAAGTTGAATAATGTGTATAACACAAGCGGACAGTAAAAGCAGTGAGAATGAGAAAGACGGTAAAACTCCTTTTTAATTTACAAGAATTTAAAAAAAAATTCTAAGAAAGGCACAGGATCTGTCTGATTTTGAAATGGAGATTAACCCAAAAGAAGAAAGCAGAGGACATTTTATGAGAAGCATTGGAAAATGCTGCGATCCTTACCGAAAAAATTTTAAAGAGTAGCGTAAGCATTGTCCCAAGCAAAAATAACTAGCTTTTTTTAAAAATTATTGCATCGCGTACTTACTAAGCGATAACGATCCTTTCAACCAACATTTGTTTCATATTTTCCTTTCAATTACAACAAAATTAAAGTTTTTTTAAATTATACATACTTTTTAAATCGGTATTAGAGGTAACATATTATTCCCATAGAAAGCTAATATCCTATGGGAGAAACACGATTTTGACGTACGCACAATATATTAGTGACGCGAACCCCATATTCCGCAAAGGTTTACTGTGTAACTTTTCTCTGCTTTACATCCAGTATTTAGTAATAATACCGAAGCATTTTATTGCTCCGGTTCTTTCGCTGCAGCAGGGCAGCCTTTTTTCATTTCTAAAATAATATATATATATATATATATCAAAGAGAAATTTCTTTCGTGATAGCTTTAAAATCACTGGATAACACAATGTACATACTGGTAACTAACTACGAAAAGGTAATTCTTTTCCTGGATGAAATTATTTGCAAAAGAAGCTAAAAGATATACCAAATGCAACGTAATTGATGGTCACAGCTTTAGAAGGTCATGAAACTTGGCAAAAATAACAGTTTTCATAATACAATGTGCGGTGGTATGTGAAATGTGAACCTGGAAACATAAATAAGCACTAAGAACATGGGGGCACATTCCATGATTAAACGTCCTTAAAAATACTTGATTTAAAAAATGAAGCTTGCTGCAGCGAAAAGCGAAGTAAGGCCTTCGCCTTAAGATCTTTAAGATTACCGGTGCTCGCTCATATAAGCGGGAGATGAGGATTAATTGCTATGAATGTGGTTTAAGGGGTATCAGAAACCCCTTAAACCACATTCGAAACCCCTATACCAACAATGTTAAATTGGCCAATTTCGATGTACCTTTTTTCAAAGTCTGCTGTAGATACAAGCTTGAAGTTTTTTCTGTAATTAAAGTATACCTATCTGATTATACTGAAATGAGCTTTTGAAACATTTTGAATTTTAGAGTAAATTACAGAATATTTTGTTAGGCATAGTAAAGTATAGCACTTTTCTCACACAAAAAAAATTCAAAAATTTTTTTTCTAACTTTATTACAAAAAGCTCATTTTCAGTAAATATTAGGGAAACCTAATAAATAAGTCATAACAAAGTTTTAGATACCTGTTAGCAGTAGTCCCTGAGAAAAGTAACATCGAGTATAGAAAAATCACGTTTGGAGAAAAACGCGTTTTTATGTATTATGCGTTTTGATGTAAAACGCGTTTTTATGTATGTAAAATGCGTTTTTATGAGGTTTTATTCCTCAGCTATCAAAGCAGTTCGATGACAAATTAAAAACTAGATTTTTACAGTTCTATAGAGTTCTTAAAGTTTTTTACAGTTTTACAGTTTTCATAGAGATTAAAGAATATTATTTTTAGAAAGATAAAAGTGTAGAGAATTTGAAAATGCAAAAATCCGAAATCACAATTTTTTGAAGATTTTGGGGTTCCAACACTCCTTAAACATCTTCCAAAATGTACCTCAGTCACTTCATCAATATTGTGATACACGTACGTTGATGCATGTTGATGCTTGTTCATTCGAACAGTTCTTGTAAACGTCCTTTTAATCCAGGGCTA